TCTAAATCTTCATAATTCTGCAAGGTAATTTTTGTTCCCATTTTGCAGATGATAAAACTGAGGTTCAGTCAGGTTAAGTAATTTGCTCATTTAAGGTCACATGGCTACTAGGTGGCTGAACTGGCATTTTAACCAACCCAGGCCTGATACCAACGCTTTCTTCTTAATGACTACATGGTCACCCAGCCTCGCTCCCCGGATGCCCTACAGGTCCCACTACTCCCTAGAGTAGTCACGTCCCCGAAGGATGTTGTTCTCTCACATCTTCCTCACGGTTATTTGGCTGGGCCTAGGAATCAAAGCTCCTAGGAAAGATGGGGTGTGCAGAGCCAGGGCCAGGCTGCGGAGGGGAAGGTCTGCTGGGGAGAGTCTGGACAAAGGCTGGAGGGTGAGCCGGAGTCCTGTGAGTTCCAGTGCTGGTCTTCTCTCTCCAGCTGGGGTCTCCTAGGCACTGCAGCGGCCTGCTCTTGTCCCCAGCATGCTTCAAGATCCCAGCACTCCTAGGCTTGCTATTTCTCCTCCAGTCTGGCTCTGAGGAGCCTCAGGACTTCCTCTTCCTCCTGCTCTGGGACACTGTCCAGGGCCTCAGCCTTCTGGCCTGAGGCTCCCACCCTGGGTTTAATTTCTACCAACTCTAATGCTCCCAAATCCCAGCTGAGACAGCCAGCCCAGGGTACAGCCTCAGAGCTTATTCATGCGCACTGGCTGCCCAGTGACCACGGTGGGACGGGTAGAAGCCTCTAGCCCCTGGTAGCTGTCCCCCCGTAGGGGAGGAAAAATAACTTTCCCCCTACACTTCTGAGTTCTTGGCTAAGACCCCTGTAAATAAAAGACAACAACAAGAGAAAAACAAACATTAGTTTATTCCTTTGTATACCTCATGTATTAGCTGGGAGGTACCCAGGGAAAAATGAGTTAACTCTCTCAGGTGGCCTAAGCCAGCAGTTTAAATACAATCTCCAGCTAAAAACAAAAGAAAGAAAAGTGGGGTGGGGGAGTCAGTTGTGGGCCATGACCATGAAAAGCAGGGTAAACAGGGGTAATGTCTGTTAGGTAGATTTAACCTTCTCCGTCGATAAGATTCTCCTATGATTTAGAGTCGTCTCTTCCTAGTTCAGAGGGGTAGACGCCCTTACAAATGAAGATTTCCTTCATAAATGTAAATTTCCCTTTCAAAAGAGTAATTTCTACTCTGTTTTCAGAGCTTCTCTCGTGTCTGTTGATTTGCCAAATAATCAGCTCAAAATAATCTTTATGCCCAAAAAGCATATTTTGAGGAGGCATATTCTGCCACCCTTCACCTCCCTCCCCAAACCTAGGCTGTCACCGCCCTAGGCAGCTTTCAGGAGAAAAAAATGTTCTGGTCTAAAGTGAGACCAGTGTTGTTTCTTGGGTCACAAGACTTTTGCTGAGCTATGGCCCTAGGCACATCTTGGTGACACCAGGTCCTGGAGCAAAAGGACTGGGCAGGATCCAGGGCCTGGCAGCCGCTGTGGCATCCTAGCCTTTGCTGGGTAATGAACCACCGCTGGAAGGCTTGGGGGTCCGAAGGCCCATGGGCAAGCCCCCACTATACAGTCCTGCGGGGCCAGGCTGAGGGCGTGGCCCCACCGCCAGCAGCTAGGCTGAAGGCTCAGGCTTCTCCCTCCTCTTTCAGACCAGGACTCCTCCGATGCGGAAAGCCTGCTGAATCCACTTGGGCTGGATCTTGCTTCCATCTCGCTTTAGGTTCCCCTCCTTGTTAGTACCAGCCTCAGCCGCAGCCCTGGGGAAGCATGAGCCGCCCCTCCCCACACCCCCTCCCATCCTCCACTATATCCCCGGAGAAACCCACACACTTACATACAGTCACTCCCAACACAGCTCAGGCATCCCGCACACACCTCAGTAAACAAACATTCCCCTCCCCCTACACAGGCAGCCCTGACGTACATATGCATGAATTCCTCAGGGCCTGAAAGCCGGCTGTGTTTCCAGTTGCCAGAGGGACCTAACAGACCTTCTTCAGGGCCTGACCACACAAGAAACCTGGAAAGAGGGCCAGTCTGTGGGCAGTCAGGACCTCTCCTCCCTACCCTCCCCCACAGAAGGCCTCCTCCCGGTCCTCTCTCCTTTCCAGCCACCCCCATGCTGGCTGTGGCAGTGTGGGGCGCCCTCGTGTGGGCCAGAGCGGCCCTGCAGCCTCGCCGCCAGGATCCCAGGCTGCTCCCCCCCCACCCCCGCATCCCGGGGTCTGCCCGGCCCCTCCCGCCTCAGTTTCCCCGTCCGTGCCCGGGGCTGGGTGTCCCCCCCCACCCCCGCATCCCCTCCTCCCAGAGCCCTGGGTCCTCCTGTCCCATGGGTGTCATGGCTGTGCTACGGCCCACCGCGTACTACTCCAACTGGCCTGCCTCCAACCTAGCCTCCCTTGTTTTACCTCTGAATATTTTCCCATTTATATTTTAAAATATAATATTCCATGCACACAAAAAGACAATTTAAGAAAATGTTAATTATAAAACATAATATAGTTAACATCCATGAGCCTGCAACCGGACAAGAAAGCTGAAACGTCACTTAGTAACTTCCATCTTCCTTTGTGTTCCTCTTCACCCCACGGCCTCCTGTCTCTCTCAACAAGAAGTAACCACTGTCTTAAATTTCACGTTTTCTCCTGCTTTTTATTGTTTCACTTTCTGTCTCTATGAATTTGACTACTCTTAGTATGTTATATAAGTGAAATCATGCAGTTTTTATACTTTAGTGACTGGCTTATTTCACTTAACATAATGTCCTCAAGGTTATCCATATCATGTGTCAAAATTTCCTTCTTGTTTAAGGCTGAATAATATTCCATTGTTTGTATAGACCACATTTTCCTTATCCATTCATTCATCCATGCACCTTGGGTTGCTTCTGAGTTTTAGCTACTGTGAATAATGCTTCTATGAACATGAGTGTACAAATATCTCTTGAGACCATGCTTTCAATTCTTTCGGGTATATACTCAGAAGTGGAATTGCTGGATCATGTGGTAATTCTATTTTTCTTTTTTTTTCGTGAGGAAGATTTGCCCTGAGCTAACATCTATGACCATCTTCCTCTACTTTATATGGGACGCCACCACAGCGTGGCTTGACAAGCTGTGTGTCGGTGCACACCCTGGATCCGAACCTGCAAACCCTGGGCCATGGAAGTGGAGTACGCACATTCAACCACGATGCCACCGGGCCAGCCCAGGTAATTCTATTTTTAAAATTTTTGAGGAACCACCATACTGTTTTTCATGGCAGCTATACCACCAACAGTGAACAAGGGTTCCAGTTTCTCCACATCCTCGCCAACACTTGCTGCTTTCTGTTTTTTTGATAATAGCCATCCTAAAGGATATGAGGTAGTATCTCATTGTAGTTTTGATTTGCATTTCCCTAATGATTAGTGATGTTGAACATCTTTTCATGTGCTTATTGGCAATTTTTATATCTTCTTTAGAGAAACATCTATTCACTCCTTTGCCCATATTTGGATCAGGTTGTCTGTTTTTTTGTTGTTGAGTTTTAGGAGTTCTAAAATCATTGCCAAATCCAATCTCGTGAAGCTTTTGTCCTATGTTTTCTTCTAAGAGTTTTATTGTTTTAGTTATTACATTTAGTTCTTGATCCATTTTTTAGTTAATTTTTGTATATGGTGTTAGGTAAGGGTCAGTTACATTCTTGTATGCGTGGATATAGTTTTCCTAGCACCATTTGTTGAAAAGACTGTCTTTTCTCCCACTGAATGGTCTTGGCATCCTTGTTAAAAATCATTTGACCATATACGCCAGGGTTTATTTCTAGCGTATTCTATTCCGTTGGTTTATATGCCTTGTCTCTATGCCAATACTACACTGTTTTGATTACTGTAGCTGTGTAGGAAGTTTTCAAGTCAGGAAGTGTGAATCCCCCAGTTTTGTTCTTTTTCAAGATTGTTTTAGCTATTCAGGGTCCCTTGAGATTCCATGTGAATTCTGAGATGGGTTTTTCTATTTCTGCAAGAAACATCATTGGGGTTTTGATGGGGATTGCACTGCATCTACAGATTGCTTTGAGCACTATTTTAACAATATTAAGATTGTAACAATATTACAATTTTAACAATATTACAATTTTAACAATATTAAGTCTTCTAATTCATGACCATAGGACGTGTTTCCATTTATTTATGTCATCTTTAATTTCATTCAGCAATGTGTTGTAGTTTTCATTGTATAAAACTTCTGTCTCCTTGGTTAAGTTAATTCTTGAATATTTTATTCTTTTTGAGGTGATTGTAAATGAAATTGTTTTCATAATTTCCTTTTCAGATTATTCATTGTTAGTGTATAGAAATGCAAGTGATTTTTGTGTGTTAACGTATCCTGCTACTTTGCTGAATTCATTTACTAGTTCAAATAGGTTTTTTTCTGTGTGTATGGAATCTCTAGGGTTTTCTACATATAAGATCATATCATCTGCAAATGATAATTTTACGTCTTCCTTTCCAACTTGAATGCCTTTTATTTATTTATTTTTCTTGCCTAATTGCTCTGGCCAGAACCTCTGGTACTATATTGAATAGAAGTGGTGAGGGGCTGGCCCCATGGCGTAGCAGTTAAGTGCGTGCGCTCCGTTGCTGGCAGCCCTGGTTCGGATCCCACGTGCGCACTGACACACCACTTGTCAGGCCATGCTGTGGTGGCGTCCCATATAAAGTAGAGGAAGATGGGCACAGATGTTAGCTCAGGGCCAGTCTTCTTCAGCAAAAAGAGGAGGATTGGCATGGATGTTAGCTCAGGGCTGATCTTCCTCACACACACACACAAATAATGAATAGAAGTGGTGAGAGAAGGCATCCTTGCCTTGTTCCTGATCTTAGAGAAAAAGCATTCTTTCACCATTGAGTACGATGTTTGCTGTGGATTTTTCAAATATGGCTCTTTTATGTTGAGGTAGTTTCCTTCTACTCCTAGTTTTTTGTTTGTTTGTTTGTTTAACATGAAAAGGTGTTGAATTTTGTCAAATGCTCTTTCTGGATCAATTGACATCATCATGTGGGTTTTTTCCCTACATTCTGTTAATGAAGTATATTACATTGATTGATTTTCTTTTTTTTTTAATTTTATTTATTTATTTTTTCCCCCAAAGCCCCACTAGATAGTTCTATGTCATAGTTGCACATCCTTCTAGTTGCTGTATGTGGGATGCGGCCTCAGCATGGCCAGAGAAGCGGTGCGTCCATGCGCGCCCGGGATCAAACCTGGGCCGCCAGCAGCAGAGTGCGCACACTTAACCGCTAAGCCACAGGGCCGGCCCTGATTGATTTTCTTATATTTAACCATTCTTGCATTCCAGGAATAAATCCCACTTGGTCATGGTGTATAATCCTTTCAATATGCATCTGAATTTGGTTTGCTAGTGTTTTCTTGAGGATTTTTGCATCAGTGTTCATAAGGGATATTGGTCTGCAGTTTTCTTTTCTTGTAGCGTTTTTGTCTGGCTTTAGTATCAGGGTAATACTGACCCTCAAAGAATGAGTTAGGAAGTGTTCCTTCCTCTTCAGTTTTTTGGAAAAGTTTGAAAAGAATTGGTCTTAGTTCTTTTTTAAATCTTGGTAGAATTCATCAATGAAGCCATCACATCCAGGGTTTTTCTGTCAGGCTTTTTTGTCAGGAGATTTTTGATTACTAATTCAAACTTCTTACTAGTTATAGGTCTATTCAGATTGTCTATTTCTTCATGATTTAATCTTGGTAGGTTTTGTGTTTCTAGGAATTTGTTCATTTCATCTAGATTATCCAATTTGTTGGCATACAATTGTTCATAGTACTCTCTTATAATCATCTTTTAATTTCTGTAGAATTAGTAGTAATGTCCCCACTTTCATTTCTTATTTCAGTAATTTGAGTCTTCTCTCTTTTTTTCTTAGGCCATCTAGTTAAAAGTTTGTCAATTTTGTTTATCTTTTCAAAAAACCAACACACAGTTTTATATATTTTTCTACTCTCTATTTCTTTTATTTCTGCCCTTATCTTTATTATTTTCTTCCTTCTGTTACCTTTAGGTTTAGTTTCTTCTCCTTTTTCTAGTACCTCAAGGAGTAAAGTTAGGTTGTTGATGTGAGATCACTCTTGTTTTTTAGTATAGGCATTTATAGCTATAAATGTCCTCCTTAGCACTGCTTTTGCTGCATCTCATAAGTTTTGTTATGTTGTGCTTCCATTTTCATTCATCTCTAAGTATTTTCTAATTTCTCTTGTGATTTCTTTTTTGATCCATTGGTTGTTTAAAATTGTGTTGTTTAATTTCCACAATTTTGTGAATTTTCCAGTTTTCCTTATGTTATTGATTTCTAACTTCATCCCACTGTGGTTGGAGAAGATACTTTGCATATATCTATCTTTTTAAATCTATGGAGACTTAATTTGTGGCCCAACATATGCTCTGTCTTGGAAAATGTCTCATGTGCACTTGAGAAGAATGTGTATGCTATTGTTGTTTCGTAGATTGCTCTGTATATGTCTGTTAGATCTAGTTGTTCTCCTGTGTTATTCAAGTCCTCATTTCCCCTATTTTAATTATATTCTCCCACCTGGTTGTTCTATCCATTATTGAGAATGGAGTATTGACATCTCCAGCTACCATCGTACAACTTTCTATTTCTCCCTTCAATTCTGACAGTTTTTGCTTCATATATTTTCCTGGTCTATTAGGTATGTGAAGGTTTATAATTGTTATATATCCTTGCTGTATTGAACCTTTTATGAATATATAATGTCCCTCTTTGTCTCTTGTAAACTTTTTTGGTTTAAAGTGTATTTTGTATGATATTAGTATAGCCACTACTGCTCTTTTTTGGTGACTATTTGCATGGAATGTCTTTTTCCATCCTTTCACTTTCAAGCTATTTGTGTCTTTGGCTCTAAAGTGAGTCTCTTGTAGACATCATGTGTTTTTATCCATTCTGCAATCTCTCTCTTTGATTGGAGAGTTTACTCCATTTACATTTAAAGTAATTACTGAAAAGGAGGGACCTACTTCCATCATTTTGCTATTTGTTTTCTATATGCCTTATACCTTTTTTGTACCTCGTTTCCTGAATTAGTCTTCTTTTGTGTTTAGTTGATTTTTTGTAGTGAAATGTTTAAATTCCTTTCTCATTTCCTTTTGTGTATATTCTATAGCTATTTTCTTTGTGGTTACCATGGGGATTACATTTAACATCTTAAAGGTACAACACTCTAATTTGAATTATTACTAGCTTAACTTCAATAACACAAAAACTCTACTCTTTATAGGTGCATCCCTCTCCCTTTTAGTCGTTGATGTCACAAAATTACACCTTTATACAGTGTGTGGCCCAAAACCTAAACTAATAATTCTTTTAAATGCATTAGTCTGTTAAATTGTGCAGAAAACAAGATTCGGAGTTACAAACCAAAGTTACAATAATACTAACTTTTAGACTAATGATAGTTTTTTTCTTTGAATGTATTAGTCTCTTAAATCACGTAGAAACAAAAAGTGCAGTTACAAGCCATTGTTACAATAATACTAGCTTTTATGATTACCCATATATTTATCTTTAATAAAATCTTTATTTCTCCACATAGTGTCAAGTTACTGTCTCGCATCCTTTCATTTTACCTTATGGGACTCCATTGAGCATTTCTTGCAGGGCATGTCTGATAGTAACAAACTCCCTCAGCTTTTGTTTATTTGGTAATGTCTTAATTTCTCCCTCACTTTTGAAGGACAGTTTTGCTGGATATAGGATTCTTGGTTGACAGATTTTTTTTCCTTTTAGCACTTTGTATATATCAGCCCACTGTCTTCTGGCCTCCAAAATTTCTGATTAGAAATCTACTCTTGGGCTGGCCCCATGGCTTAGCAGTTAAGTGCGCGCACTCCGCTACTGGCGGCCTGGGTTCGGATCTCGGGCGCACACCGATGCACCGTTTCTCCAGCCATGCTGAGGCCTCGTCCCACATACAGCAACTAGAAGGATGTGCAACTATGACGTACAACTATCTACTGGGGCTTTGGAGAAAAAAAAAAAA